GCCACTGTTTGATTTTGATACCATAGCCATTGCTACAGATAATTTTTCTCTTGAAAACAAGCTTGGACAAGGTGGTTTTGGTTCTGTTTACAAGGTAAATACAGTGTTTAACATACAATAAATAGTCTTAAATGCACGTCCTAGTTTGTTTGTGAGCCTGATAAATGTATGTCTCATTGCCAGGGTAGACTGGGTGAGGGTCAAGAAATAGCAGTAAAAAGACTCTCAAAGAACTCTGGACAAGGAGTTGAAGAATTCAAGAATGAGGTTAGATTGATTGCAAGGGTGCAACACAGAAATCTTGTCAGGCTTCTTGGTTGCTGTGTTGACATGGACGAGAAGATGCTAATTTATGAATACATGGAACATAGAAGCCTGGATTCTGTTTTATTCAGTGAGTACCTCTAAATTGTCGAGGAGCTCAACTAAGTTCTTCTTGGTTAATAAATTTTTGACTAAGGTAAAATGTATACTAACTAAAAACTTTGCTGCAGACAAGAACAGGAGTTCCTTACTGAATTGGCAAAGGCGGTTCAACATCATTTGTGGGATTGCTAGAGGACTTCTTTATCTTCATTATGATTCCAGATTTAGAATCATCCACAGAGATCTAAAGGCAAGCAACATTTTGGTTGATGGACAAATGAATCCGAAAATTTCAGATTTTGGCATGGCTAGAATTTTCGGTAATGATCAAAATGAAGCAAATACCAAGAGAGTAGTTGGAACCTAGTAAGTATCACAAACTTGACCTCTTTCCTGGCCCCAAAAGCTAAATATTATAAGTTACTAATCTAGTATTATCTTATTTGTTGCATGCAGTGGATATATGTCTCCTGAATATGCAATGGATGGGCTATTCTCAGCTAAATCAGATGTTTTTAGCTTTGGTGTTCTAGTATTGGAGATTGTGAGTGGTAGCAAGAACCGAGGATTTTTTCAGGCAAACAGTGAGCTAAACCTTCTTGGACATGTAAGCACAACAATATACTCATTCTTGAACATGATAATCCAGATTAATTCTGACCAAAATACTAATAAAGTTAGCATCATTGCAGGCATGGAGATTGTGGAAGGAAGGGAGGGGATTGGAATTATTAGATCCCGTAGTGGGTAATTCATACCCGGAGCAAGAAGTATTAAGATGCATACATGTTGGCCTTCTGTGTGTGCAAGAGAGAGCAGAAGACCGACCAACAATGCACTCTGTGATTTTGATGTTAAGCAGTGAAACAGCAGTAATGCCTAGGCCTAAAACACCCGGATTCTGCCTGCTAGGAAGAAATGCTGTTGAAACTGATTCACTTTCGAGTAAGAAAGATGAAACATTCACCGTGAACCAAGTCACCGTTACAATGCTAGATGCAAGATAGTGAAGGGAATCACATAACCTCATCTGGCACATTTGTATATCCGAAAATATTTTCTCAATGTAGATTTTTTGCAACTGCTGCCAATTTTTGTTGAAGTTTGATTACAGTAGGCTGTTCAAACTTGAAAATATATCTCCTTTAAATTTTGTTGAAGGCAATGCCATGATTTTAAAGCCGCAGATGATCATTTGTTTGATTTGTAGAGTCGTCTTCTAGATCTTTGTTTATGTGAAAGAAAATAGAATAGGGAACATGGACACACAAATTTGGTTTAAGTCATGGAGATTTGTCTTTGAATATTTTTTTGAATCATATACACTTTCGCAATGTATAAAATCAAGAAATGATGAGATGAAATATGTTCTGCTCTTGAAACTCCCCATTAGTTTCCCTTCAAATCAAACGCATATGAAGATGAAAAAGTGTCAGTGTATTTTGAGATGGCATATGCCGTACAATACTAACCAACTTTATTTTTTTAATATTGAGGATGATATTCGAACATCACACCACCACACTAGCATGAGAAGTCGTAACAAGGAAGAGGTGGCCACTAAGCCACAGCCACAGCGACAGTCACAGGGATGTTCTCGCTTTGCATTGTACTGTTGAAGCTATTCAGATATGAAGATATCTATAGAGTCAATGAAGTGACTGTCACTACTTAGAAAGATGCAATTTTGTACAGACCTTTCTCCTCTGCATATTTCTGGAAAATCAAAAGTGATAGCCATATGTTTGTTGAGGAAATGGGTATTGGTGGGTGCTAGAGGCAGCGTCTTTTTCGGTATCAGGGGCAGCCGTAGAGGGAGGGAGGACCAACAACGGTTCCTCTGCTTTGCCGCTTCCCCTAATCTCAAAAGGCAAAACAAAACGATGATCCGGCGTCTGATACCCAAAAACGAAACCTCAACCATATCTATTTCGAGTCTCACATAACCCCTACCCTCTTCCCTCTTCCCTCTTCCTTCTCCCCAGCACCCACCACCAGAGAAGAGGATTCCATGTGTCCCTTCATAACAATAATGTCCCCAAACTCAAACGCTGATTCTTGATTAGTCGTATGGGGCCTGACTCAGCAACGATTAGTGGAGGGATGTAAGATTCCAGTCAGCGGCACCGCTTTGTCAGTTGATCCCTGTCCGCGAGCGGCAGCGTTATCTCAGCGGCACCGTGTTGGTGCCGAATGGCATAGTGCGAAGTTTTTCGAGTAGGGTTTGATGCTCAATGGCATTGAAGATTCCCATTACTGGCTCTACAGCAACAGGATGTCTGGTGCTTGGTTTTCAGGGCTCAAGAAAGATGTTGTTTTTCTCTGGCTTGTTTGTATCAACAGCCACGAGGGTCTTGAGAAATCCCACTTCGCAACTCTCAAACAGTAGCAACGTTGTCGACAGCAATGGTGTTGATTATACATGGCAATATTCTACCGTGGAATAGGGGAATTCAAACCTGGCTGCTGGTGGTCCTTACTCTTCATGGAACAAGTAAATATATTTATATGAACCCCACTTTATTTTCTAGCTAGTTTGAAAATTGAAATTTGTTTGTTAAGGATTTCAAGATGCCAATTTATCAACGCAATCAATTTTTGAATATTTAATAGAGGATGCCTCCAAATTTTTATTCTTTGTTCTTATCAGAAATTCCTTTCTGGGACAAAAATTTCAAACTTTTATCTTAATTGTTCTTCTTCTATTTCTACAAATTAGTTGGAAGTTGAAACAATTAACTTTTAGATATAGAAAGATGTAGACGATTTAGCCCTGCCTTTGACTGACATCTTTCTTAATTTACTATAATTTTCTGTCTTCTGGAAAGCGTATGCCACTGGACGTTGACTATTTGCTTGGGAAAATGATAAATGGACATATTGGAGAAAATTCAAATAAAGAAGAACCCAAAAGGTCAAAATAAAAAATGACATTGCAAGGTTGAATTAATCTTTATATTTGACTGTTTCTGAATGGCCAGGTGCAGTTTGTCTTTGAGCAGACGACTCCGACTCTTAGGTCTCTATCGGCGGCTTGTTGCATGGTATATGATGTTTTCCCGTTGGTATTCTTTTTTAACTTTTTTGATTGGAGATTCGAGTGAACATCATGTTGGAACTGCCATGATTGATGATCATCCATGATGCTCATCTTCGTTTTCCTATGTTTTGGGTTTCTGTCTTTGGAGTCCTCGGGGGCAATTGACACTCTATTGTCAAATCAAATAATCAAAGACAATGGTGAGACTATTGTTTCCTTGGGACAGAAGTTTGAGTTGGGATTTTTCAGTCCCTGGAATTCTAGCAATCGATATGTTGGGATCTGGTTCAAGAACATCTCACAACAAACAGTTGTCTGGGTGGCCAACAGGAACAATCCTCTCACTGATTCATCAGGTAGCTTTTCTATAACAGCCACTGGGAACATCACCCTCAGCAACCAATCATCCATCTCCATTTGGTCGTCTAATTCATTTGCTCCTTTAAACAAGTCTGTTCTGCAACTTTTGGACACAGGGAACCTTGTTGTTAAGGATGCTGAAAGTGGCAACTACTTTTGGCAGAGCTTTGATCATCCATGTGACACTATTATTCCAGGCATGAAATTTGGATGGAACCTGGTAAATAATCAGAGCTGGTTCTTGACATCATGGAAGAGTCTGCAAGATCCATCCATTGGAGAGTACAACCACATGCTAGAAGTTCAGGGCCTTCCACAGTTTGTTCTCCGGAAAGAATCAGATATAGTTTACCGGAGTGGTCCTTGGGATGGTCTCAGATTTGGGGTCTTTCAAATTCAACAAAACTCAGTCGTCAACCCTGTTTTCATCTTCAACTCAACTTTTGTTTACTTTTCATTTGAGGACAACAATGGAAGGATTTCAAGGTATGTCTTAAACCAGACGGGATCAAGTAAGCTTCTGACATGGAATGATCAGCGTCATGACTGGGTTGATATATACACTTTGCAGACAGATCAGTGTGATGAATATGCACTATGTGGTCCATATGGCCTTTGCAATGTGAACAATGAACCAAATTGCAGGTGCTCACCAGGGTTCAATCCAAAAATTCTGCGTGATTGGAATACCTTTGATTGGATGGGAGGATGTATTGAGAGGACACCCCTGAATTGTAGCAAGGACCATGGATTCAAGAAGTTGTCTAGACTGAAGTTGCCAGACAATTCACACCTATGGTCAAATGGGACAGATATGACTCAAAGAGAGTGCGAGCAAGCTTGCTTGAGAAACTGTTCATGTTTAGCTTACGCGAAAACTGATGCTGGATGTGTGATGTGGTTTGGGAGCTTGCTTGACATGAGAGAGTATATTAAAGGTGGGCATGATTTGTACATTAAAATGGATGCTTCAGAACTTGGTAAGTATTTTTTCTGAATCTAAATTCTAAGATGAATGATATTTTGTTTTAGTTTTAAGAAGAATGAAATTTATGTTTGACAATTACAGGATCTGATAGCAAGGCCAGAAGGAGGACAGTCATCATTATTGTCTCAGTAATTTCTGGGGTCCTGTTGCTGGGTGTGATAAGCTGTTATTTGAGGACAAGATATAAGTGGAGAAAAGGTAATGTTTAAGGATTAATGGATATTTTTCTCAAGAGTCTAATACGCTTTGGTTTTTTGATGAATAATTGAAATTGAGATGCGTATCATTTTTTAATTTGACAGTAAAAGGAGAAAATGATACTGATCAAGATCCCCATCCAAGTATCAGGGAGGCAGACATAGACCTACCTTCATTTGATTTGGTTACCATTGCAACTGCAACTGATGACTTTGCTCTCAAAAACAAGATTGGAGAAGGTGGTTTTGGTCATGTTTACAAGGTATTACTCCTATTTATCTACAAAATTTGAGTTCAAGGCACAAAATTCGACTTTGATCCCCTGGTTTGTTACCTGCTATGAAATCCTGATGAACTACAGGGGGTGCTCCCAACAGGACAAGAAATAGCAGTGAAAAGGCTTGCAAAAGATTCGGGGCAAGGCCTTCTAGAGTTCAAGAATGAGGTTATCTTCATAGCAAAACTTCAGCACAGAAATCTTGTTCGACTTTTGGGTTGTTGTATCCACGGAGATGAAAAGATGCTGGTTTATGAGTATATGTCCAACAGAAGTTTGGACTTGTATCTATTCAGTTAGTTCCCCTGAACAATATAAAATTTCATTTGTTGTCGAGCTCTGCTTTTGCTCTTCCTAAATTTTAGCCAAATGTTGCAGATCAAACACATGGTGTCCCACTTGACTGGCAGAAGCGCTTTGACATCATAGTAGGGATTGCTAGAGGACTTCTTTATCTCCACCGGGACTCGAGGCTGAGAATCATTCATAGGGATCTTAAAGCCAGTAACATTCTCTTAGATAGTGAAATGAATCCCAAAATATCCGATTTTGGCTTGGCAAGAATGTTTGGAGGTGATCAAACTGAAGCAAGTACAAAAAGGGTTGTTGGTACCTAGTAAGTATAACCAAAACCCACTCACTCTTCCCTCACTGACTCTTCCCTCTCTGTGATGCACAAACACACCATTGATACATGTGTTTGTTTACTTTGCGTAGTGGTTACATGTCTCCTGAGTATACAATGGATGGACTCTTCTCTGTGAAATCAGACATCTTCAGTTTCGGAGTTTTGGTCTTAGAGATAGTGAGTGGGAAGAGGAACAGAGGATTTTATGATCCCAACCATGATCTCAACCTTTTAGGACATGTAAGCTTAGAACTTTTACCTTCCCTTTACATTTGATGCGGACTGCATTTCTCATCTCTTACCTGATTATCTGAATCATTTAGGCGTGGAATTTATGGAATGAAGAGAAGGCCTTGCAGCTGGTGGATGCTCCGATGCAGAAATCAATTGTCAAATCCGAGGTTTTGAGATGCATCCAGATAGGCCTCCTGTGTGTGCAAGAGCATCCCGAAGACAGGCCTTCAATATCCTTGGTTCTGTCGATGCTGGATAGTGAGCAACTTCCATTGCCGCAGCCTAAACAACCTGGATTCTACACAAGTAGGTTTCTTAACGAAAATACCTCTTCATCAATTAGCGGGAAAATGCACACAGGAAATGAACTAACTATTTCAATGCTACAGGGTAGATAGAAGTTTTAGTATATCCCTGTATACTTTTTTTGTATTC